ATGGAACTGCAGCTATCTCCCCCCCCCACTTGCCATAATTGAAAAGCTATGGGAGAATATTTACTCCACCCTCATATGAACGAGCTTTGGAAGCAAGTTAGTAGCTACAGGAGCAAGTTAGTGCTATTTTGAAAGGTGGATGTGAGCCCACCTTTCTGCTGACTCTGTGCATTCATCTCTTCCCTCCTTCTCCACCCACATCAGCTCTTGTGACATTAAGTACACAGAAGGAGTACAATCCCTTAACTGGACCAAAATCATGAAAACTATTGTGGACGACCCAGAAGGCTTCTTTGAGCAAGGGGGCTGGTCATTCCTCGAGCCCGAAGGAGAGGTATGTTGAGCAGGCACGTAAAGGGGCAGCTGGAAAACAGGGAACAAGACCTCATCTTTAGCTGTTAGGTTGTTACCTTTTCTCAAAAGGCTGAATGGGTTTGTACGGGAGTTGGGGATTTTTGGAAATTCCTGCTCAGAAGCTGGTGCAACAGGAAACGAGTGTCGGGATAAAGAATCCTGCATTAGCCCAACTTTTGCATCCCCACAAAAAACGAAAGCAACCCTAATGCAGGGGAAGGACCGTAGCTCCATGGTAGAACATCTGTTCTGCAGGCGGAAGGTCCCTGTTTTGATTCCTGCAATCTCTAGGTAGGGCTGAAACACCTCTGATACTGGGAGACCCACTGCCCGTCAGGGTGGACAGTGCTAAGTTGGATGGACCAACAAACTTGACTTCATATTCCTATCCAAAACTTTCTGTTAGCGGAATGGAACTCATGAGATTCCAGCAACGTAGTTAAGAGTCTTCTTCCTTCTCCTGCAGGGAAGTGATGCTGAGGCCGGGGAGTCGGAATCTGAGATTGAGGACGAGACCTTCAACCCTTCTGAGGAAGAGTATGAAGATGAGGAGGAGGACAGCGACGAGGACTATTCTTCTGAGGCAGAGGACTCTGGTGAGGGGAAACAGCCAGCCACAGGCCCAATGAGAGCAGCCCTCGCTTCCCCTTGGGTCTTGGTTTTTCAGCACACCCAGTACACACACACAAGCACCCTGTACTCAGGAGGTTCCTGGGCTGTTTTCCTCCAGCACTTCGACTCCCTACCTGTGTGTGGATGCACATTTCACTGTTCCTCTTGCTCTTTAAACACGTTCTGCTCAAGCACCCATATCCAGTAACCTTTTCTGCACAGCCAGTTCTCCCAAGCCACATTGTGTGGGCCATCCTTCCTTTCCGAGGGAAGTCACTAATCTTTGCTTTCTTCATTTTTTATAAAAGCAGTAGCATCACCATTTCCTTTTAAAACCTTGGGAGCTGGTCACTGATGGAGGACTGTGTCTGTATGTGTCCCACACACACCAGCATGACCTGAATAGAAACTTAGAGAAAGCTGCTTGGGTGGCGATCCAGTTGTGTGGCATAATATGTCCTAGATGCTGTTGCAGCATCAAAAAGGGCTCCGTGCCCTGCCTTGCCTGCCTCCCTTTCTCTGCATCATTCATGGTGTTGTAGCATAACAAAAGTTTCACATTATTGCTCAGAAAGCTGACCCGGGGTGTCGTAGTGTGTGAAAACATTTTGATCAGCGATGTGCTGAAACAGCGGCACCGAATGCGGATCCAGCTTAAGAAATCTCATGGGAGAGCTATTTAGTCCTTCCCTTGTGAAATGTCTTGAAATAGTAGCTCTGTTCTTTGACTCTTATGCAACATGCGCCAACACACACTAACTCCCAAAGTCTTTGGAAACTCATAGAACCGGAGCTGTTCTAAGGCTGCAAACGTAACCGCAGGTACACAGAGCAAATCCCATTGATCCCAGTGAGTCTTACATCTGAGTAAACAGGCATCCTGCTGTACTGTAAGTTAGTCGAACACTCATTCCTGACCTGTTACCCAAAGTCCCCGTTGATCATTAAGTGGGAGCTAAGTGACGCTAACTTGGTCTGTTTGCATCCTATTATCACTGGAGAACCTGAAATCAAAGACAGAGCCTGGCAAAATCTGGGGGACTGCAGGTTGCTCCTCTATCAGGGTCTCCATCGTCACCCCACTTCCTCCTTGGTTGCATGGCAACTAATTCTGAGCCTCTCCCACTTTCAGCCGATTACTCCAAGGAGTCCATGGGCAGCGAGGAGGAGAGCGGGAAAGATTGGGACGAGCTGGAGGAAGAAGCGCGGAAAGGTGAGAGAACCTTTGCTCAGCCCAACTTGGTGCAGAGGCGGGCGGCTTCTGGGCTCACTGCTTTGAGCGTTTGTAAGGCCGTTTGCCGGAGCAACAATGGGTCCCAGGGTAGGACCTGGAGGTGCATGAGGGCTGCTTCCTTGGTTCTGTCCAACGTCTGGATGGCTGCCTGACTGAGAGGAATATGTATGCCACCTTTGGTTCCACAAAAGAAGAAACAAAAAGGCAGGATATATCCCCAATTTGTGGGGAATCCGCCACAAGGGAGGCTGCTGTTGCACCCTGGACCTGAATGCAGGCTTCTCAACAGCACCTGCCTGACCACTGCGACAGCAGGACGCTGATATGGAATGGGCCTTTGACCTGATACGGCAAGGCTCTTCTTAAGTTCTAAAAAATACTTTGGGGAGCTGTATCAAGAATTGGAAGCCAGTGCTTCTCTAGATGTGTTGGATTCCCACAGCCACAATGGCCAATGTTCAGGGCTGATGGGAGTTGTAGTAGGGCTGTAAGGGTGTAATCCTCTAAAGCAGTGTTTCCCAACCGGTGTTCCGCGGCACACTACTGTGCCGTGAGACATTGGCTGGTGTGCCGTGGGAAGGAGGCGGGCGAGTCGGGCGGTGAGAGGCGGCGGCGGCGAGGATCCGCGTCGAGCCGGGGGCGGCTCCGCGGTGGTGGTGCCGAGCGGCGGGGCAGCGCGTGCAAAAGGGAGGAGCGCGAGACAGCGGAGGAGGAGGAGGCCGGCATGTCCGGGCAGCAGCAGCAACAACAGCAGCAGCAACTCCCGGCGACGGCTCCTCAAGCCCCGCCGCCGCCCCCTCCTCCGCCCGCTATCGCCGCCACCACCACCACAGCCGCCGCCGCCTCAGTTGCCGCCGTCCCTCAGTCCCTCGCTCTGCTGCCTCCTCCCACCCCCAAAGCTTGGAGGTTCCCCGGCAAGGGGGAGGGAAAAAACTTTCACTTTCGTGCGTCCCTCCCGGCGTGACGCTGCGTGCTGACGTCACGGGGCGGGGCTTTAATGGTGGTGTGCCGCGAGATTTTTTTTCAGTAAACAGGTGTGCCGTTGCCCAAAAAAGTTTGGGAAACACTGCTCTAAAGGTCCAACTGCGCTGGCTGCCAGTTATTTTCCGGGCCCAATTCACAGTGCTGGTTTTGACCTATAAACACTTTAGGACTGCCTCTCTCCATATGAACCGACCCTGACCCCAAGATCATCCTCTGAAGCCCTTCTTCATGCGCCTACTTCATGAAGGGTCCAGAGGATGGCAACACAAGAACAGGCCTTTTCTGCAACAGCTCCCCATTTGTGGAATGTTCTCCCCGGACAGATTCGCCTGGCACCTTTGCTATATACATTTAGGTGCCTGGTGAAAACGTTCCTCTTTAACCATGGCTCTGGCTGATTGACATCCAATGTGTTGTGGGGGTTATTGGTTTGTTGTTTTTACTGTGCATTTTGTGATTTATTAATATGTTGTGATCTGCGGATGAAGGGCGGCATACAGATTCAATAAATTAGTAAAGGTGCTTAGCCTAGCACCAGCAAGTATCTCATAATATATGTGCCCAGCCATGAGAAATAGCCATGAGTTGACTACAGGAATGTAGGTATCTTCTTTTCCCACCACCACTGAGTCCTGTCCTTTGCGTCTCTCTGCAGCTGACCGCGAGAGCCGATACGAGGAGGAAGAGGAGCGAAGCCGCACCATCAGCCGGAAGAGGAAGGTCCCATCATCATCGTCCCAGAGTTCGAGGCACCACCGCAGCTCCCACAGTCGCAGCCCCGGCCGAAGCTCGGGCCCCTCCAAGAAGAAGAGGAAGTAAACCGCAAGCCCTTCCCACCCGCCAATCTTTAGGGGGTTTGGGCTTTCAAGGCCTCATCCAGCAGCCAACGTTTAGGGCACGAGGGGCAGCCAGCCAGCCCCTCCCCACAAACTTCTCCCCTCTTTCTCTCACGCACCCTCACCCTCTTCTTCTGTTTCTCTGGGGAGTATTTTGCTTTTGTTCCTTGAGTCTCTCTTTTTCCCTCTCTGACCATTTGTACGGACCAATCAGCTGCGAGAGAATGCCAGGCCCTGCGGTTACGTCAACCACGGATGCAAACTCTGCCAAGGAGGAAAGGTGTGGGGGGGGAGGCTCAGGAATCTGGTGTCCGTGATCTGCTGTTCCCACCTACCCTTTTCTGTCACCTGCCCCTTGGCCTCTCCATTCCCGCTTACATCTCTTCCCCGACTCTCGGTGTCTTTGTTCTCGGACGGATTGGGGGCAGGGAGGCGCAGGTTGCCCTGAGATCTACTCCAGAACCAGAGCATGTACTTCAGCAAAATGAACTGTGCAACTTTTTGTGGCATTTTGTGCTGGGGCAAGGGTGGTTGCGTTCCATGTTTTTGAAGCAGAACCCCCCCCCGGGTGGTAGAGGAATCCCACCTTGGAACAGTGACACAGAAGAGGGCAAGAGTTTTTGAACAGGTGGGAGACCAGGGGAACGCAACTGAATGACAAGGGTTCTTGCTTTCTCTTTTTTAAAAAAGACAAAAACGTCAGGCACTGTCTGTATTTATCTGTTTCCTTGGCTGCAGAGTCTGGTCTCCAGTGAGCAAGTGTTTTAGGGACAAGGGGTAGGGGGTTGAATGCTTTGTCTGCCCTCTGCCTCCCTTCTCTCCTGTGGGGAAGGGGGGGAGTCAGTGATCCACCCATGGGAGGGCAGGGAAAGGCTTTTTCAAAATTCCTTTCTCCCCAACCCCCTCCATCCCGTAGCAGTTAGCACTCTCGGTATTTTTGACTTTGGAAAAAAAACTGATCAATAAAAATGTTTTTTTAAGTATTTGGAAAGTTTATTCGTTGGCTTCGTCCTTGTCTTTTGTGTCAAACGCCCCAAAGCATCTTTTTGGTCATGGAATCCTGTTAAGTTTCTGTCGTCTTCACCCGTTCAGCTTGTCATTCCTCACTGCTCTTCCTTTTGCCTGCCCAGTAAATGGCTCTCAGGGCAGAAGCTGCTTCCATGGACACTTTCAGCTTCCCAATGTTGGCGTCAGGATCAAAAGGACTGATAACTAGAATGACAAGGTTAAAATAGTTGTTTGTGTGCAAGAGATGTGGAACCAAGTCTGTTATTACTGAAGAAAGCAGGAGAGTCTCAGTCTTCATTTACAAGGACTAAGGTTCTAGCACCCACTCCTATTGTGGGTGCATGAGGGAACCTGCAAATGCCGGTGAATTTGAATTTTATTATTACGGTCACAGACCAGTTCCAGCTCACTTACAATATCAGGAAAATCATAAAACACAACAGGAATACATTGAATTGCAGTTGGGTATAACAGAGACAATACAGATATAGCGGCAGTTAAAAATATACAGTGGTACCTCGGGTTACATACGCTTCAGGTTACAAACTCCGCTAACCCAGAAATAGTACCTTGGGTTAAGAACTTTGCTTCAGGATGAGAACAGAAATCGTGCTCTGGCAGTGCGGCAGCAGCGGGAGGCCCCATTAGCTAAAGTGGTGCTTCAGTTTAAGAACAGTTTTAGGTTAAGAACGGACCTCTGGAACAAATTAAGTACTTAACCCGAGGTACCACTGTTTATTAAATCTTGATCACTTTAAATTGTCATTTAAAACCTTAATAATTTTGGTAGAACAGCTTGTTCCCTAAGTTTTACGGCAGTCGCACAGAATTTGGCCACCCTTAGCGTGATCTCTAGATCCTTGTCCTCTAGTTTTAGACATTGAAGTTCGGACCCATTTGGAGATTTGCAAATGCTGGTTTTTTAAATATTGCACAATCCATTGTCGATAAAATGCAGCGACCAAAGGAGATTGTCATTACAGCTATTAGGGCTGGTTTGAAATGGTGGGTCCAGAACAAGTGGCATAGCAAGCTGGCATAGTTGTAGACCAGCCTTCCCCAAACCTGGTGCCCTCCAGATGTCAGGATGCAACTCCCAGCATCTGTGGCTAGTGCTGATGGGAGTTGTAGTCTGACATCACGTGGAAGGGCTCTGAAGGCTACTTCTGACACTGCTTCAGTTTTGTCACGAGCCGTCAGCTTCTTACCGTCAAGTTCTCGCTCCAGCATATCGCTACCTGTCAGAAGGATCTCCCGCAAGTCCAGGTAGGCAAAGCCGACGTCTTCGCATTCTCCTCCGGTCCCTGGCAGCGGTTCGCTCACCACTGCAAATTGCAGCCTATGTCAAGGAAGAGGGCTCCATGAATACAGGCACTGGGGTCATTCTTTTTTGCCTGGGGCTTTCAGGGGAAGGGAAACACGACACTCACCAGTTATGCTGGGGCTCTTCTGCCTCCAACATAGAAAAGAGCAGCTGCCTCTGAAGGCTCTCTGGGTCTGGGTCCACTTTGATCACTGCAGTAGGAAGATTCAAGAAGACATTTACTGGAGCCGCTGCTGATCTCTGATACAGCACTTGGCGTGTTGAGTGCAGGGAGACAGATCAAAGCAGATGCGTTCGACAAAAACCATGCTGTCGATACTAAAATACGCCTTCTCCAGAACAAGAGGTCCACAATGGAATTAGTCCTTTGCTATAAAGGACTCCTGACCATTAGGTCCAGTCGTGGCCGACTGCAGTTGCGGCGCTCATCTCGCTTTATTGGCCGAGGGAGCCAGCGTACAGCTTCTGGGTCATGTGGCCAGCATGACTAAGCCGCTTCTGGCGAACCAGAGCAGTGCACGGAAATGCCGTTTACCTTCCCTCCGGAGCGGTACCTATTTATCTACTTGCACTTTTGATGTGCTTTCAAACTGCTAGGTTGGCAGGAGCAGGGACCGAGCAATGGGAGCTCACCCCATCGCGGAGATTCGAACTGCCAACCTTCTAATTGGCAAGTCCTAGGCTCTGTGATTTAAAATTCTTCACCCCGTGGTCTCAATCCTGCCTTATGCCTGGAAAACAGGCCTTGTGGAACATGGGTTCCTCAAACTGGTCGAGAAATTTAGGAAGGTGGCCAGTGGCGTATAACACATTCCAACTGACTCTTGCCCCATCCCCGTAAGTTGTGCAATGGAGTAGCCATCTGCAAGAAGGGAAAATGAAGATAGGAGATGCTGGCCTTTGAATGTAGGGAGGCAGCTTAGAGTTACATCTGAATGGTGGTTTTGTCGGTGAGACCTGACATGGGATAATGGCTGCAGCTGGGGTGGGCTGGGAGGCGAGTTCTAAAATGGCCACAGAAAAGTAGCCTTCTGCGGGTATCTCTCGCAGTCTAACACACCCCATGGGGTCATTTTTTACGATGGAGATAAAATTGGGGGAGGTTTGGGTAGGGGAAGGGGATTGTGTATCCCACTCTTGGGAGTAAGGGTAGTGCATAAATTAGCATGGAGCCCTTCAGATGCACGCTAGATGGTGCTATTGAGCATTGTATCCGAAAGCAGTAGATGGAACTACCGTATTTTTCGCTCCATAGGATGCACTTTTTCCCTCCTAAAAAAGCAAGGGGAAATGTGTGTGCGTCTTATGGAGCGAATGCAGGGGGGCAGGCAGGAAAAGCCCCCAAGAGCCGCACACAAGCTCCGTGCGGCTCTTGCGGGCTTTTCCCCAGGAGGGAGAAGGGGCTGACTGGCGGCATCAGTCCCTTCTCCCACCTCGTAGAAAAGCCCACAGGAGCCACACACCCTTTAAAGAGCCGCGCAGCCCCTTTAAAGAGTGTGCGGCTTCTGCGGGAGGTGGGGAATACTCCCGGAGCTTGTCGGGGCTGGCGGGGGAAGCCCGGGCTTCCCCCGCCAGCCCCGATAAGCTCCTGAGCAGCTCTGGGGTAGCCCGCGAAGCCTCCACAGGGCAGCAGTGAGCCTTCATCCCGGCTTCACACGGCTATCCGTCCAGTATATCTGAAGGAGCGTCTCCACCCCCATCTTTCTACCCGGACACTGAGGTCCAGCACCGAGGGCCTTCTGGCGGTTCCCTCACTGCAAGAAGCCAAGTTACAGGGGAACCAGGCAGAGGGCCTTCTCGGTAGTGGCACCTTCCCTGTGGAACACCCTCCCACCGGATGTCAAAGAGAAAAACAACTACCAGACTTTTAGAAGACATCTGAAGGCAGCCCTGTTTCGGGAAGCTTTTAATGTTTGATGTATTATAGTATTTTAATATTCTTTTGGAAGCCGCCCAGAGTGGCTGGGGAAGCCCAGCCAGATGGGCGGGGTATAAATAATAAATTATTATTATTATTATTATTATTTATTATTATATTATATTATTATCCCTGGCTTTTGCGGGAGGTGGGGCTCTGTCCCTTTCCCCACCTCCAGCAAAAGCCAGGGATAGCCGCGCTCCCTTACAGAGCCGCGTGGAGTGTGTGTGTGGCTCTTGGGGGCTTTTCCCCGAGGAGGGAGAAGGGCAGCCCATCACTGACGGGCTGCCCTTCTCCCTCCTTGGGGAAAAGCCCCCAAGAGCCACACACACACACTCCACATGGCTTGTGAAAGGGAGCGCTGAGCAGAGCCTGGGATACATACAGGCTCTGCTCAGCGCTCCCTTTAAATAATATTTTTTTTCTTGAATTCCCCCTCTAGAAACTAGGTGTGCCTTATCAGGTGTGCCTTATGGAGCGAAAAATACGGTAGGTTCTGATATAAACAGCTGCAAGGACCTAGAGAAGGATTGGACAGCTGAATTTCATGCGTGGGGGTGGGAGAAGAAATGGGGGCTGTTGTGCGTTGTGAACCCCCCTAAGATCTATGGGTATAGGGTGGAATACAAATTTAATAATAATAATGTGGCCCCCAAGAGTTCATCTTGGATGGAGTGTGGCCCTCAATGGTCCTTTGTAAAATGTCCCACACTACTAGATGAGTGTTTCCCAAACTTGGGTCTACAGCTGTGTTTGGACTACAATCCCCATCTTCCCTGACCAGTGGTCCTGCTAGCTAGGAATGATGGGAGTTGTAGTCCAAAAACAGCCTGGAGGCCCAGGTTTGGGAAAACACTGGTATAGACCCTTTCTCTGCCCGAGGGCAACATTCACTCCTGGGCGGGGCTACATACAAAAGTGGGCGGAGCAAGAGGTGTGATTTTTTTACATTTGCTACAGGAGTTGCACAGTTCTCTCTCAACTCCAGCCCGGCAGATAAGAGGCCTGGGAGTTTCAAGGGCCAGGCAAAAATAATCAAGGGAGAGTTATGAAGTCAGAGGCAGGAAGGGGTGTGGCTTGGGGGGGTTACATTTGGCCCCCGAGCTTGAAATTCCTCACCCTGACCTAGAGGCATGTAAATTTGGCAATATAGCAGGGAGCCTTGTAGACCATGCCAGCTCTTACAAGTTATGAGTTTTTCTTTCCCTAGAATCACGGTTTCCTTCCGCATCCTCACTTTGCTGAAGTGGAAGTAGATTTCCTGGTTTCCTTGGGGCTTCCGCAAAGAGAAGGGGAGGTCTCTGTTTCCTCCAGCAGCAGGCCAGGGAAGGCCGATACTCACGTACAGCTGCTGGATGTTCTCGTCAGCAATGGGTGGGCTGTCCGGGTGCAGGCTCAGGGAGATGACCTCCACGCGGATCCTGTCTGAAGGCTGCCGGCCAAGGTGGAGAGGAATAGGAACGGAATAAAACCTTTGCAAAAACCTTTGCTTACCAAGAGGCAATCAGTTGAGTAGATGATGCTCACTGAGAAGAGAGAGATGGGGAATCTGGATCAGGAAGGCGGGTGGGTCAGATCCATCTCTTTACACCCACATGGCCATGTTTATCAGATGTGTGACTCCACCTACCTATCACCCAATTGTCAACAATGTAATCGTTCCCGCACTGTAAAGGGTAAAGGGACCCCTGACCATTAGGTCCAGTCACTTGACGACTCTGGGGTTGCGGTGCTCATCTCGCTTTATTGGCCAAGGGAGCCGGTGTACAGCTTCCAGGTCATGTGGCCAGCATGACTAAGCTGCTTCTGGTGAACCAGGAGCAGCACACGGAAACGCCGTTTACCTTCCCACCAGAGCGGTACCTATTTATCTACTTGTACTTTGACGTGCTTTCGAACTGCTAGGTTGCAGGAGAAGGGACCCGAGCAACGGGAGCTCACCCCGTCGCGGGGGAGTTTTGAACCGCTGACCTTCTGATCGGCAAGTCCTGGCTCTGTGGTTTAACCCACAGCGCTACCCGCGTCCCTCCCGCACGTGTAATTAAGGTGTAAAAAAATGTATCTATCTATTGGCAAATAAGACTTCCGTCATGCCTCATTCCAGCAGTTGGCATGAGACCCTGTGGGGCCCAGGGAAGACCCCCTTGGCACATCGTGACCCATTGTACTACATACAGCATTGAATAAGCCCACCTCAAATTGTATTTGGTCCAATGTTTTCAACACGAGCCCTACTAGGTTAGAAAATCCAGTACCCACCGGTCCCAGAGACTCCTGGAGTCCAGATGATTGCACCACCACTTCATCGCTCTCTGTGGTCTGGGCTTCACTGGAAGTATCTGGTCTCTCTGAGGCTAGAGGCAAGATTCGAGAGACAGCTACGTAAGAGACAGCCTTCTTATTCCCCCCCCCCCCACTCCTGTTGCAATCTCACTGCCCCGTGATGTGGCAAAACGAGACCTAGTCCAAGAAAGCTTATGCCGCAACTGATCTTAGGCTTGGTTCTAATATTTACAAGGTGTGACTGGAAAGTTCGGTTGAATGGTCACAGAAATCAGACAGCGAAATATTCAAACATACATGCCTTGCAGGCCTTCAAAGCAGGTCCCCTCTGATACAAGGCACTGTTGACAATATTCATAGAACTGTTGGAAACTTCTGGAGAAATCCTCTTTTCGTACTCCATACACAATTGTGAGCATTTCGTGCATTTCCAATGCCAATTGTATGTTTGAATATGTTTGAACTGTCTGATTTCTGTGACCATTCACCGAACTTTCCAGTCACACCTTGTATTTCGTTTAATTGCTCCAAGGGCAACAGTAGCCTGACATCACCCATAACAGAAAGAGCCAATGTTGCATCTTCCAGCTGTTACTAGACTCCATCTCCCATCATCCCTGACCATTGGCCATGCCGGCTGGGGCTGATGGGAGTTGGAGTCCAGCAGCAAGTGGAGACACGCAGGTCCTGTCTCCCCCCCACCTCCCGATCCAGAGAGCTACTGATTGTAAACTTTCCGTGAAAGTACCATTGTCACTCAGCACGGCTGCTTCAGCCGGTGGGCTTGATTTCCCTTCTGATTCCTGGCGACTTGCGGTTGTCATCTCTTCTTCCGCTGCTGCCGCCTTGTGCTCCTCTTCCTCTCGTACTCCTTCCAGGGCCACCTGCGCAGACACAAACCCCACCGAGGTCAGGGTCTGAGAACAGCACAGCAACCGGGCTTCTCTCCTCTGACTTCTAACAGAAACACTGGTGTTAAATAAGCAAGTATACAAATCTGCTTTCATATGGAGGGTCTGAACATGCTCCATAATTTAGCTTCTCCTAAATGTGGAAGTGCGTATGAGACCTTATGGATTTCAATCTCCTTGGGGCAAGGGACTTCTTCTCTTGCACTTTAAGCACCATGCACATCAAAGAACTATAAAAACAACAAAGCTATACACTTGACCATCAGCAAAGGAAAGGGGGATTGATTTTTAAAACCACTCTGGGCATTGTAGCACCCCAAGAGGAAGAGGGGAAGGGCAGTGCAGTGCAGTGCCAAAGAATGCTCCAACTACCGCACAATTGCGCTCATTTCACACGCTAGCAAGGTTATGCTTAAAATTCTACAAGGCAGGCTCAAGCAGTATGTGGACCGAGAACTCCCAGAAATGCAAGCTGGATTTCGAAGGGGCAGAGGAACCAGAGACCAAATTGCAAACATGTGCTGGATTATGGAGAAAGCTAGAGAGTTCCAGAAAGACATCTACTTCTGCTTCATTGACTATGCAAAAGCCTTTGACTGTGTCGACCACAGCAAACTATGGCAAGTTCTTAAAGAAATGGGAGTGCCTGATCACCTCATCTGTCTCCTGAGAAATCTCTATGTGGGACAAGAAGCTACAGTTAGAACTGGATATGGAACAACTGATTGGTTCAAAATTGGGAAAGGAGTACGACAAGGCTGTAATTGTCTCCCTGCTTATTTAACTTATATGCAGAATTCATCATGCGAAAGGCTGGGCTGGATGAATCCCAAGCGGAATTAAGATTGCCGGAAGAAATATCAACAACCTCAGATATGCAGATGACACAACCTTGATGGCAGAAAGTGAGGAGGAATTAAAGAACCTTTTAATGAGGGTGAAAGAGGAGAGCGCAAAATATGGTCTGAAGCTCAACATCAAAAAAACGAAGATCATGGCCACTGGTCCCATCACCTCCTGGCAAATAGAAGGGGAAGAAATGGAGGCAGTGAGAGATTTTACTTTCTTGGGCTCCATGATCACTGCAGATGGTGACAGCAGCCACGAAATTAAAAGACGCCTGCTTCTTGGGAGAAAGGGATGACAAACCTAGACAGCATCTTAAAAAGTAGAGACATCACCTTGCCAACAAAGGTCCGTATAGTTAAAGCCATGGTTTTCCCAGTAGTGATGTATGGAAGTGAGAGCTGGACCATAAAGAAGGCTGATCGCCGAAGAATGATGCTTTTGAATTATGGTGCTGGAGGAGACTCTTGAGAGTCCCATGGACTGCAAGAGATCAAACGCATCCATTCTGAAGGAAATCAGCCCTGAGTGCTCACTGGAAGGACAGATCCTGAAGCTGAGGCTCCAATACTTTGGCCACCTTATGAGAAGAGAAGACACCCTGGAAAAGACCCTGATGTTGGGAAAGATGGAAGGCACAAGGAGAAGGGGACGACAGAGGACGAGATGGTTGGACAGTGTTCTCGAAGCTACAAACATGAGTCTGGCCAATCTGCGGGAGGCAGTGGAAGACAGGAGTGCCTGGCGTGCTCTGGTCCATGGGGTCACAAAGAGTCAGACATGACTAAATGACTAAAGAACAACAAAACTAGGCAAATTAGCACAAATTTGATTCCACGTTCCAGAAACTGTAGAAAAGAGTAGAATGAATGGTGGTGGGGGGGTGGGATCTGGTCCATGGGGTCATGAAGAGTTGGACACAATTACACAACAACAGTTCTCGTTGACTCTAAGGCAATGACTCAAGGAAAAACTATTAAATGACTGCTGGTAAATTCTCTCTATTCTTTAGCATTTAATCTGACAATCCAGAATCAAGCAGATGTGGTGATGTTCCTGCCTGCAGCACTGGTGAATTCAGAACCACTGATAGAGGGATGAAAGGGGTCCCTGCGTACCAGGCCCCAAACCAGCAGGCACCCCATACTCGTAGCTTTCATTATCTGTGTTGCATCAAATCTTAGGGTGCTGCCATTCCGTAATAAGCTAGAGGCTATTATTAACAGTACTAGAGTAGAGAGCTTTTGCACAGTATTTCCTGCCAGTTGGGACTTTATAAATACAAGCTCCTCCTTTCCGTGGGAGTCTCCGTCAGTTCAATCAGAAATGTGAAGAAGCAGCTCCCCATCTGCTGATGACTACATCCCATTGTTCTTTCACCACCAGAGGTGAATCACGATCAAATGTTGCTATCCTTTGACACAGTCCCTTTGTTTGCCAGAATTTTCCAAAGCAAAAAAGTCTAAAGTAAAAAAGACCTAGATGTAGAGGTGGTTCAGGGGTATATATTAAACTGCATGGGTTCGGCAACAAACAGTCATCGAATTTGAAACCTGGAGGAACAATAAACAACTGAACCAGCATGATCTTAAGAATACGTTGATGTTTGCATAATGTTAATAATATGCTATTTGAAGGTGGGGAAAAAAGACTTCTCTACTACTCCAGATTTTTACGTCTCTTGAGGAATTGCCTTTTAAGTTAAGATTAAAATGTGAAGCAGAACATAAATGCCTATAGCAGTAAGAGATGAAAAAGCATGTCCAGAGAATGGAGAGACTTCAGCAATATAATTCCATATGAAAAAGATGTTGCTGAACAGTTTTGTTAAACACTTTCCACTTCCATCAGCTGTGGGAGGTTCCGGGGTTTAGTGAGAGGGATGTTGGAAAATTCCAACAGAAACGGGAGCAGAAACTGTCAATGTTTGCTTATTCACCCCATGTCCAGAACGGAAATCCACCCAGTGAATACAATCAATACACGCCGTTCTTGTTTTTAGCCTACAAATGATATTAAAATGATACTGTGCCCCCTCCTCCTATTTGCATTGCAAATCATTATCCTGACCAATTTCCGTACCGTTGCAGTGCTGGGCTGGGCAAAGAAAGGAGAGGAAGATGCTCAGCGCTTATGCAAACTCTTCTTTCTCCCTCTTGTGTGCTTCCATTGCTAGTAGGCTGGAGAGATCTGGGAACAGGCAGATCAGAGCACTGCAGTCCAATTGGATGTTTCCTGAGAGATGGCTCCAATGATTCCCGGAATATATGCCTTGTTCAGCACCAATGCCGCCACACATTTTGCTGCCGCCACTGATAATTCGGCTCTGGGGATTTTCAAGCCATAGCAAATGTGCCTGATTGAATATTCGTAGGAACTTGGACATCCTTACCAAAATTACTATTTTCCTTTGCTATTTCTTGTCAGTTGTGGCCTTTATTGATAAGCCACTTGTTACAATAGTATTAAAAGTAGTTGTCGTGAATTGTTGACAACCCTGAGAAGGCCATTTGCGCAATTTCAAAATTCAGGAAAGTCGAGCACACCCCGTGCAGGTGAAATGGTAAGGGAATGGTAGCTGTAGATTCAGAATTATTATTATTATTATTATTATTATTATTATTATTATTATTATTATTTGCATTTATATACCACCCTATACCCAGGGGTCTCAGAAGACCTTGCCTTCATGTACCATGTTAAGTTTCTTTGGCTATGTTTTCTATATACAAAGATAGAGGGGTTTTGTTTTGTTTTCTTTGTTTCTTTCTGTTCTAAATAGAAGAGTTTTGGAAGGGTGTTGAAAAAGCAGAAAGACAGCAATGCCCTGGAGGGGGATAGTTGAGATCAGATTGAAAGACGAAAGGCTGCCCAGCTGAGGAGGGTCAGAAAACTGAGGTGAATGCAAATGGAGATGGCATGGAATGTGCACTGACTTGGCTTACAGTTGCTTTGCAATTTACTTTCGTGCTTTGATTACATATAATTACTGTTGTGCTGACTGTACAATTACATTTGCGTTGTGCTGACTGTTAAAATCCAGATTACTCTATGTGCGCAGTGCAGCTTGGATTAGGCAGCACCAGTTGAATATTAAAAGCCAAGCATGAAGCGCGAAGCACCTTCTAAGCAATTTACAAGGGCAGAGTGGATAATGACCCAAACAAGAGGGAACAATGAGATCCTTGCCTCCATTCCCTCAGCCAAAGGTTGTTATTACTAAAAGGGGGAAACTGTAACTGTAAACACCTGGACGCATAGATTTGATCCAAGGTGGGAAGAGTGCACCCAATTATTCTCTCCTCAGTCTTTACAACCCTGGACAGCATTGTTTTTCCCCTGACCATGCCGCTCCCAAACCACACACACAGACCATAAGTTAATCCATGGCATCCTCAGGTAGGGCTGGAAATTGCCCCCTGCCTGAAACCCTAGAAAGCAGCTGTCAGTCAGCATAGACAAATCTGAGAAAGATGGACCAATGGCCTGACTTGGCAGCTTGAGGAAATCAGCCTCCTTGTTTCCTTCAAGGCAGCCAAGAGCAGATATCATTGTTTTTCTCTATCTCCACTAAGTATGCATCCACTGGGATGCGGGTGCTGCTGTGGTCTAAACCACTGAGCCTCTTGGGCTTGCCAGTCAGAAGGTTGGCAGTTTGAATCCCCACAACAGGCTGAGCTCCCGTTGCTCTGTGCAAGCTCATGCCAACCTAGCAGTTCAAAAGCATGCCAGTGCAAGTAGATAAATAGGTAACTTTGTGGTGGGAAGGTAAACGGCGTTTCTGTGCGCTCTGGCACTCATCACGGTGTCCGATTGAGACAGAAGCAGTTTAGTCATGCTGGCCACATGACCCAGAAAGCTGTCTGTGGACAAACGCTGGCTCTCTCAGCCTGAAAGCGAGATGAACGCCACAATCCCTTTGACTGGACTTAACCGTCCAGGGGTGC